GGTCGGTTTTTAGTTCTTAGTAGCTTTGCATTTCTTATATTCTACTGGTTCCAAGTGGTAGTAAACCCTCTTCCAGGGATTTTTAAATTGTTTTGCATTGCATTAGATCGTTACATTTAGTTTTCCTAGATTTTACCAATCATCTATCCATTTCGCTTAGATTTGGTTCATCCTTGCATTCTTAGTGGCTCTTCCTGCATCCTAGGTTGGATTGATTCCTCTTGCACACTATACTACATCTATATGTTGCTTGAGTTTTGATAACCTCCTGCTTGCATACTAAAATCATGTTATCACCTGGCAGAGCATCGGCTTCTACACCTCGGGAGAAATCAAGCCGAGACTTTGAAGAGTTGCACTGGGCACTTGCACCGGCATCTACACTTTGGGAGAAATCAGCCCGATAGAATTTGGAGTTGCAGACATGGCGACCTCCTTCCTTTAGTTTTTCTCTGGTTTTGACTTTGGTCAACTTCCGAATTTTGACCATTGACTAAGCCTTAATCCTTTGACTATTTAAGTGAACCTTATCAATAATTGATATGATCTTTCATTATCTTATCTTTTATGCTTTTCAGATCTAATCATTGTCTCTCTCTTGTTCTTAAGCTTTTACCCAGAATTCTTAGTGTGTGTAAGCAATATTTTGAGATTTAATTAAGAGTTTGCATTTTCTGCTTTTGATCATCCTTCTATTGCTTTTGATTATGTTTTCTGCTTATGAATCTATGATTTTCGCCATGTTATCTATGTGTTTTGAGTAGTTCTCTTATGGTTCGTAGGATGAGTTATATCTATGGTGATTTAGTTGTTGATCCATGATGTTTAGTGCTTAATATTATTGGTCTTTTCCTTTTTGATGTTTTTAATGCTTGATCCTTGCAAACCCACTAAGATTTTGAACCTAGGTTTTTCCTGCACCAAAAGTGTTAGATGAATTGCATGAACCAATCATTTAGGAGATTTATTTATCCTTACACATGAGAATGGTTGACTATGGAGTATTTTGGCTTGATATAACTGATGTTTCATTCTTGTTAATTGCTTGATCACTAATAAGAATTAGCTTTGGTTAAGTTTTTAGTAAAGGGGTCTTTGTCAAGAGATTGGACTGATCTTCTTTTTAGAGTTCTATACTGAAGGATTAGCCTTATTGGTTGATTTTTCACATCAAGGATTGACTGCTATTTCATTGTGGATCAATAACCTCACAGTGAGATACATGTTTATCTCATTTCGAATATGCTCTGTTCTTACTCTGTTTTGATCTGCTCTTGAGTTTGAATTTGCTTAGTTACTTGCCTTGCACTCTAGTCTATTGTCTTCTTTCACTTGTTTGATTTATCACTTAGGGTGTTAGACTTTTAAACAACCTCTTTTACTTGGCTTAGCTTGCAATGACATTTATGTATTCTCAATAATTCACATCCCTGATTGGATTGACACCTTAAGTGTTGCAATGACATGATCATATGACTTGAGGAATTGAATCACAAGAAAGTGAAACCCCTTGTATCAATTTATCAGGTAGCTCACAAACATACTTCCCTTCTCGAAAGATGGAACAAATGGCAAGATAAAACTATCAAAAAGCTTATCAATACCATTAAGGGGATGAAAGGCATGGAGAAGGAGATCAAGGGCTAACAGGCAAAGCTTGGTGAAACTTCTGGTGCACAAAGAGAAGAGGAAGAAAAGGGCCGAGGACATGACATTATGGGTGAAGAAAGGATCCAGTCCTTTAGAGAGCCTCCAAGGGAACAAGAAGAGGTTGAGCCCCATAGAGCCTCCTCTTATGAGCCACGCTAAAGGAGAAAGAAGCAAGCTACAGATTCCCCACCCTCTCTCTCCTGCAACATGTCCCATTCCAGCAACTACTCCTATTCCATGGACACCTCCTCCTCCTATGGTAATTGAGGTACACATCTTCCATCTTTATCATTGTATATACCATTTTTATTGCTTTGCATATTTCTTTTTTTTCACTCTCTTACATTCTTTTCTTACACATAGGAATGTGTGTAATTTAAGTGTGGAGGAGAGCATCAATTTGTTTTGTTTTGTTTTCTTAATGCATAATACATACATTTAGATTTTATACATTCACTTAAGGCATTGAAAAATCATAAAAAGTTGAAAAATTCGAAAATTACAAAAAAAACAAATCATGTATTTGCATTCATTCGCTTGCTTATGATTGAGTCTAATATGCATTTCATATGGGTTGCATTCATATGTATAAGGAGTATTGATGTTTTCCTTGTATGATGCTGAAATTTAAATTGTGTTCAATTTCTTAGTTGTTAGTTGTTTGATGTTAGTGATCTAGTTTGGAGTGAAGGTTAAACCACATTCTGAATTCTTGGCATTTTCACTCTTGTCTAGTTAAAACTTGCATAATCTGATCTCAATTCTTACTAAGTTGAACATTAATTTGAATTGTCAATTATCATGTCTTGTGCTTTGAAAAGTGTTTTTCATGGATACTTGGGCTTTCTTCTTCCTTTTGCAACTCTTGTTAGTCCAAGTAGAACTCTTCACCCTTAACCATAACCTTCTTTAAAGCCATTGAAACATTTTTGAGAGATTGAAAGGCCTTTTTTCATAGATGAGCTTAGTAAAAAGTGTTCAAATTTAGAACTACATTGGAAAGACTTCCATGTAGAACTAATCTTCATTTTTGAGCTAGATTAGGCTAGGATTATGGGGTTTCAAAGGGATAGATTATATTTTGGGTTTTACAAGAGAAGAGAAGAAGAAGAAGAAAAAAAGCAAAAGAGAAGAAGAGCATTACAATTTACCTTGGGAGAGTTGGCTAAGTGATTCAAAAAGAGCTAAGTATAAAGAAGACAAGAGGTGCAATTCAAAGATCAATACACATCCAAAGGATGAGAAGCACCAGCAAATAAAGATGAGCCTATACAAACCAAGAAGCCGACCAACAAAGAAGATGCATCTCAAAGAAGCTCCAGGGGAGAGGAAAGAATGGTGAAATCAATGAAGCAAAAAAATGCTTCAACGAAAGGGTAGATTAGGATGTGTATTTGGGTAGAAGAATAGGAGTTTAGGATCATTTATGGGACATGTGTAGATGGAAGTTTACCTTTATATGCATAAGTTGTTCTTTACCCTTACATTTATATGCATAAGTTGTTCTTTACCCTTAGTATTTTACCAAAGCCCATTCTATATTCATGAGAGATCCCTTGCATATTCATTGAGCCAGTTCGAATTTGATGAGATCATTTTAGTCTCATAAACTTGTCCTTAGCCAAATGAAAGCACATGATTTACATAACCATGATTCGCTTGGTTACACTTAATTGAATGTTAAAAGGTTTGATTGATGTGATTGCTTTTGTAGACTAGGACTTGAATGCTTGTGACGGGTGTGGCTAGATTTTTAGAGTAGAACAAGATCATGAGCATTTTAGCATTGATAACTATGATGTTGAGCACAATTTTTCCTTTCGTATTTTAGGTTGTGAACTCCCAATTTCAAATCTCATTCCCTTGTTTGTCTTTATTTGCTTGAGGGCAAGCAAAAGGCAAGTATGGGGGTGTTGATAGTGTGCATATTTACAGCATTTAGGCATACATAATCATGTGTTTTGAGTCTCTTTAATGCATAAACTCACATTTTAGGTCTCTTTTGCATTCATATTAGAGCTAGCTTGTGTCTAGATGTTCATTTCATATTTTGTTGCATTTAGAGGTGTTATCTAAGTACCATGGAAGCTAAGGAGGCTTGCTGATCAAATGAGATTTGAGTAGATTCATGGAGGAGAGTCTAAGGGAAGCAAAGCAAAGAGGAGGACTCACACCGGGTAATCACATCGGCTACATCACCTCGCTTCAAGTGAACAAGCAGTTACGTGGGATCACACCGGCGTGTTGCACAGGCTACATCACCTTGCTGCAAGATGGTCAGCAATTTCAGGAAGATTACACCGGCTACTACACATCAGTGAAGATGAACCCGCAGTTTTCACGAGAGCACACCGACTATTCACACCGGCGACTACATCCCGGGGTGGACGAGATAACATCCTTCCGCCTATACTTTAACTTTGGTCAATATCTTTGACTAGAGGTTTGACCAGAGCCTAATTCTTTGCCTATAAAAGGCAAAACTTATCTAGCTTATTAAGAGGGCTTTTTATGATCAAAACCTTATTTAAAAATTTTTTCTCTCTAGTTCTTACCTATTTCTGAGTTTTTGGATTTGTGAGCAAACCTTTTAGATTTTCATCAAGTCTTGCGTTTGCCTTTATTTTCTGTCTATCTATTTTTTTTTATTATGGTTTCTTATCTTGTTTCTAAAGTTTTCGCCATAATCACCATGTATAGTGAGTAATTAATTTATAGGTTTGTAAATGGGATAGATCTAGGATGATCCAAAGCCTAAGATGCATAATTGTTACAAGTTGTATATAAGGTCAAAATACAATTCTTTTATGCTTTCATCTAGAAATTGGGTCACGAATTTGCAGGAGAGCTTGTTCTCTATAAATTGGTTAATTATTGAATATGTGTGCTTGAATAAAAGGAGTTGTTTGCTTAACAAAAGTTCAGCAAATCGATGGCTTGTGCGTTCGGAGTTGGTTGCTGAAAGTGTTGGCGGTTGGAATGGATTTATCTTTAGCTTCATACAAAGGTCTCAAATCCTTTGTTTTTATCTCGTTGTTATCTATTTTCTGTTTTAAAATTGTTGCTTCGTTTTGTTTTTCGAATTCATCCTTTGTCGACTTCGAGCACTTCCTCCTTTGTGGAGTATAAACCCAATCGTTTGCACCAAAAGAAAAAAATCAAAAAGGTAAAATAGTGTCTAGTATGTTTGGCACTCACATCACATCACATCATTATTTCATGATGTACATAGACTAATAACTTCGTTTAAAAGTAATTTGAGAAAGAGAGGTATGTCATATACAAACTCCATAAAGTAGTCAACATAAAGACGACCTCTTTGTATATCGATCGCTTTTCAACATTTTTTGCTAGGAAAGTTGTAGCCTGGTTCAAATATTCAAACATATTCTATAAGGTTAGTAAATATAAGCTTGAATAAGTCTAATCATATTTCAATTGAGAAAGCTTACCCTAGTTTTATTGGTTTTTCTCTAGGAGGTTGGTGTTGTATGAGTTGACGTTGCCGTGGTGCATCTGTTTCGGTTCCATTGCTTACACGATCCACACTTGAACTTCCTTCAATCGCAGTTGTACCTCCATGTACCTGACATTGCAAGTATATTAACACAAATATAAGTTTCTATGTGACTGTGTTTTTTTGCATATCATTTGCATCACCTTCTTTTGCAGTTTTATATTTTCTTTACGCATCATATCTACCATACTATGTAGCTCTTGATTCTCATTTTTGATGATTTGTCCCTGTGACAAAATTAAGCATGGTTTGTTTAAAGTTGTAGAGAAAAATCATAGAAATGTGTCAGTCTTCTTATCATTTCAAAAGATCATATTTTGGTTATTTTTGCTAACAAACCTTACGATTGAGTTCTCTTATTTGATCCGACAAAAGTTGGTCCTGCGGAAAGAAAAAAATTACGGAAATTAAATTTGATTTTTGACTACCGTTAGTTATGAGTCAATAGTCCAATTGACAAAAATAGGTCAAAACCCAACGAAAGCACAACCTGATCCAATTTCTAAAGTATTGTGGCAATGAAAGACGAGCACCAATAGCTTTTGTCCAAAATGTATCCCTTTTAAGAAACAGATGCATTCATACCTTTTTTAGACGAACACCTTTTAGACTTGTTTCTAGCTGGTCTTCAAGATTTTGTAGATCATTAGCATTCATTCCAGATAGTTCTTCTCCCATCAGTTTCCTGCATTATATAATAAAACTAATTTTATGATGCTTTGGGGAATGAAACCCCTATATATTAAAAGATAAGCATTTTTAAAAAATAACTTTATTTTTATAAATATTTACAGTGATGCTATTATGTTGAGGTGTCAACCTCACATTTATTCTCAGCTAATTTTTTTAAAAAGACTTAGATTACTAGACTAATTATATGATATGTCATTATATATTTTAGGTCCAGAAATATCTTATATTTTTTTAGATGAATTCAAATAAAATAATATTAGAATTAATAATTTAATAAAATTTGTTTAATGCTAATTATAATATACACGAAATTTATTATATAATATTTTAAAAATATTATCCATATATATTTAGAATTTATAATATTTTTTAATGTTTAGTATTTTTATCATTCATAGCAAAATATATAATACTTTTGATGTTTACTACTTTTAAAAAAAATTATTGATTATTCATAAAAAATATTTTTATAAAAATAACTGAAAAATTAAAATAATATTTTATTTTCTTCAAATTCATAACAAAATATATAACACTTTACTAATGTTTACTACTTTTATTAGGTAACATGTTTATTAATTGTTTATAAATATTCTTATAAATACAACAGAATAATTAAAATAATATTTTATTTTTCTCAAAAATCAATCAAAACAAATAAAAGAAAGCTATAATGATTTTATTCACATATTGTTGTAATTATAGCATGTATGAAAATAATTGTGAAAACATATATAATACTTCAAGCTAAATATTTTTAATTTTATATCTTTTAACAACTCATAATAATATATACAAAAATATATTATTATAATAGATATTATTTTCAACACAAGCATCAATTAAAAGAAAAAAGTCATAATGACGAATTTCCAAAATTATTATGATATATATTATTAATATTCGAATTTACTATATAAGAAAATTTGATATATTGCATTATTAGGTTTAATTTATATATAATTCTTAGATGATAAATAAAGTTTAAGCATTATTGCTTTTTTTTTTTTTGGTAAGATAATACCAATATTAATTTTTTATTGCATTATTGCTTACTTTTTGGTAAGATAATACCAATATTAATTGTTTATTTTTTTAATTAATGTTTGATTTATCATATACAGTATCAAATTTTCACCAAAATTTGTTCATATTTGTTTTTAGTTTGTCGGCTCTAAATCAATCAATTTAATTACTGTAAATTTTTTATAAATTGATAATATTGTGATTTCAATATTTTATTAATTTATGAATTATAAATTTATCATTTTGGAATTAAAAAAAATTATTAAATTATTTATTAATAATTAACTAAAATTATATTTGTTTTAAAAGTTAATGATATTTTTAAATATTTTACTTTTAAATTGTAGATAAATCATAACATTATTTCAATTTTAAAAAAGCAAACCATTATATATTTATATTTTAATAAATTAACATAGTTAGATATTTATATAAAATTATTTTATGGTAATTATTAATTTATGATATTAATGAAACCATATATTTATATAGATTTTCTTAAAAAAATATTATTTTATCGATTTTTATCATATTTTGAACAAGTCTAATTTGGGACTAAGAAAATTTATTAATTTATTTAACTTATAATATTTAATAGATAAGTTACAAACTATTAAAAAATAATGTTTAATTATTTAAGAGTTAAAAGTAATTAAATATGTACATAAATATTGTATATCCAATTCTTGGACATTGGTGAAAATAATAAATCATATCATCAATTATGGGATATAAAAAATCTGTATAGTAACTTCGTGTTTTTATCCAGCTATATCATATGTTACGCATGCTACTTAATTTTTAAATTAATTTATATTACAATTAAATTATCTTATATTTCATTAAAAAAACTATATTGTCAATTTTATAGTATAATATTATATAAAGTTCATATAAATTTAATTATATTATATTATATAATTTTAAAATTATATTAAATATAAATAAATAATATTTATTTTACTCCACACATGGTGCGAGTTATTCCTAGTATATTTTATTTTTATAACCAGCTCTACTTTTGTCACGTTATAATTTATTTTGGCTTGCCATTTTCAAACTGTGTTTTTTTGGTATCATTGGTCTTTTAGTAATTAACACTTTTGAGAAAAATGGAGGGAGATTGATTAACATAATACAAAATTAATATGAAAAATTCAATAAAAAATAAGGGGATTTGTAACTAATAACGAAATTAACCAAAATATCTTTTCATTCAGGAAAACAGTAAGGAAGAACCTGGAAATCTAATCGAACAGTCGAAGCTGAGTCACTGTTGTGTTCAATCACCATAATTTCTGTTCGTTTTGGTTCACATGAATTGTCGTATATGATAACAAGTTTTATGGCACAAGAGCTCTTACCTGTGGCATTCTTGTAGATAATGGAGTTGTTGTTGCAAACTGGCAACCTCTCTTTGCCAAAACTGGTAACAAAAAGAGAAAACAAAGGATGATGTATGAATTTACGAAAGGGGGCAAATAACAAAGGTATATATTATTTGCACTACCAGATCCAAATTATTTGCTCAATTTTCCACCCCAACATGTGCGTATGTTCTGTTCTATTAAACGATAAACGTAATTTTAAACACTTGTACATAAAACAATCACCACCTATTTCAGTATTTACCACTATAAATTTTTTGATTTCTTGAACAATACACATATAGTTCAATTTAGTACTAAGAATCATCGGAGATTATCTTCTTCTTTTTTCCTATTAACAATTTCATCAATATCAAATTGAGGATACAAAATCAACAGAGCTCAACCACGGAGATACTGTCCTGTGCTCAAGGGTTCACAGTAGGCGCGCTGTTTGTCAACGTAACAATGCCGAGATACTGTCTGATCACCAAGGATAGTGAAGACATGGTCTCTGATCGCATTTTGATGCACTGGTGATAAAGAGATGGGACGGTTCGCATGATGTTCAGCTAGGGTTTTCCCAGAATGGCATTGTAGATCGCAGGTCGGTCGATGACCTCAAAAGTCACCATAATGGACTTTTCTCCTAAAGTTACGGGCATCGTTATGGTCCCGATCGTGGAGATCGAATCTCCAGCAAACCCGGTGAGGGGTGATGGCGCGACTTTTATATCCCGTTTGGTGATGCTCATCTTGCGCAGTGTGTCCATGAAGATGATGTCGACCGAGCTTCCTGTGTCGATCAATATCTTCGAGATGTCATTCTCTCCGAACCTGAGTGAGATGACGAGTGGATCGTTATGTGGGCGGTCAATGTTCTGCGCATCTTGCTCTGTAAACGTGATCGAAAGGTCGTCTTTAAACAGAGGTGGGGCGTCCTTTGGCGGGTTGGCTGCCTTTCGCTCGTGTCGTTTGATCGAATTGATAGAATCAGTGCACGAAAGGAGTCATTCCATAATCATGTTGATCCGCCGACGCGGTGAGGTCGGGGGTGTGTGATCATCTTCACGGTTCGTTTGGAGGATGGACGGTTGGAGGATGGACGGTCAGCATCGGATCTTCTATCACGATCACTGTCAGGTCGTCTGTCCTGATCATCGTCGGATTATTGCAAAAGATTCTGGAGCTCCGGTAGGGTGCACTCACCATCTTCCCATGCTTTCCGCAAGAGGGCCGGGAGGGTACGGCAGTCATCAGTATGATGGTCGTGCGCCTTGTGGTATTTGCACCACGGCTTCTTACTGTCAGGGTCTTTGTCGCTCAAGCGGTCCCAAGTGTTCCACCTCTTTGGTCGTTCGACGGCATTGATATTCTTACGGCTCTTGTCATCCTTGTCATAATGTTGACGAGGCTCTTTGTAGTCATCCTGATTCGACGATCTGGGTTTTTTGTCGCGTGAAGATTTTTCATCGGCCAACTTGGTCTTGGCCTTGGCCGTCCGATCTTCTTCGACCCTGATATAGCCGGTTGCCTTATGCAAAGCATCTTCTAGGGTTTTGGTCTTTTCTGTTTTCAATCGTTCGCAGTACGACGAATCGTCTCTCAAGTTCCTGATAAGGATGTTAAGGGAGAGCTCGTCCGATAAATTGCATCGAGAAATGAACGATCGGAACCGATCGATGAAGTCGCACAACGGCTCCGTGTCGCCCTGGACGCACATCCATAGATTGAGCGCCGTGGACTCCGTGTTGATGTAGATCGAATAATGCTTAAAGAACCGAGCTGTGAGCTCCTTGTAGCTATCAATGGAATTTTTGGAAAGCTGCGAGAACCAGGTGAGGGCGCTTCCGGAGAGCATCTCCACAAAGTACTGACAGAGGCATGCTTCCCGCTTCTCGTCGGTGAAGCAAGCCTGCCCCATGACTGCGTTGAACGCGGTCAGGTGTCGCTTCGGGTCTGTCGTGCCGGTGTAACTTGGAGGTAGCTTCATCCGGCCTATGTCCTTGAGAGGAGCCTTGGTGATGGCCGACGTGAACGAGGTCTGATGTGTTTGCTGTAGGATCTTGTCCAACTCTGGTGCTGAGGTCATCGCCTTGTGGATCTTGCGGTTGATATCGTCAAGGCGTTGATGGAGGAGGTCGAGCTCTGAGATCGTTGTCAGGTCGGTACCTGTGGTGTTACGAGATGAACATGTGTTAGAGCCTTCCACTTGTGCTCTTTGCAGGTCGTCTGTCGGTGTGGTGCCAAACAGGTTGTTAACCAGTCTGGTCGTATCGGCGTTGCGGATCGGCGGGCGAAGGGGCGTAATCAGATCGGCCTGCTCTTGGGTATGAACCCTAGAGTTGAGAAGATGATCTAGGTCTTCTTAGTAGGCAATCTGTTCGGCGCAGAGGGACTGGAAGCGGGCATCCATGCCCTGTTAGAGCTGTGCAGCGACCGATCTGATGATAGTGGTCATGTCGATGGGAGGTGGCTGTGGCAGGTCGGCCTGGTTTGTTCCATCGGTTTGGCCGACCTGATCTGTCGCGCCTGTGTTCTGTCTATTTGTCGTGTCATCTTGCTGATCGG